ATTCACACTTCCTGTCATTTCACAGATCCTTGCATCTCTTTCCAATCTTTTTTTTCTCTCTCTCTCCAGTCCTCATGTCTCATTCATTTGCTGCTTTTGTTGTGTATGAGATACGAGGTTGTAGAAACACAGGGAGTCTGAGAAACTGAATGTGTAAGGAATCTGATATTTTTTTAAAAAATACAGTATAGTATATCTGTATTGCCATCATGTCTTGATTTTTAATTACTCAGCCACTCTTGAATCTGAGCATGGCTCAACAAAAGTGGGAAGGGGCAGCTGCCTTAGCCATGTATGTCCAACTTTCTATGTTTTCCCTCCTGGTAAAGTAGTTCATCCCTGTTCTTGGCCAGCTCTACTTTATGTCTTTTGCATGATGTGTGTGACAGACAAAATCCTTTTCAGACCTTTCATGTAATCGGGTCATCTTAGAGAATATGTTCCTGTAATTTCTATTTTGTGTCTATTGCATTTCAGAGGGCTGCTGATCATGTAAAATAATGGGTCAGCTGGTCAGTCAGTGAATGAGTTGGAGAGTGTCAAGAGAGATTACAGAGGAGTAGCTCAAAACTACAGCATGCATAATTTTCCTAGACAACGCTGCTTTTGGATATAGCTGTATGCAAACTAGATTGTTCAGTTTGCTAATCTTTGTGTTTCCAACACCCAAGGCCACTCAGAAGAGCAAGCTGCACATGATGCTTAGGCATATATTTCTTTGTTTCCACTTGGGAGGGTTTTTAGAAGGAAAAAAAACCCTCCAGCAGTTTGACTGCTTTTTTTAAAAAAAGCCCCTCATTTGTTCCCTCCTGCCAGGGAATAAGTGTGGATATCTACATATTTCCCCTGCTGTGAAAAGCATTTTTAGAAGAAAAACAGCTGGAGGAAAAGGACTTAAGAAGCCGTCTTACCAAAGAGATTTTCTGCTGGAGATTCCATCCTTTGCAGCTGCATTTTGGGAAAAAAAGGTTTTACAGATTATGCACAAAAGAACTGCTTTGGAGGTTTCTCCAAGTGAGAGCAAACTATCTATAGCACAGATTTTATTTTTCTTTTCAAATGGCATATGAAGTAGTAACTGAAGCTGGGAGGTCCTGCTTATTAACAAGGAAAATGTGAATTACATTACATTTTATTATGCATATTTGTATAGATTCTGTACATGCACACTTTCACAGCACATGACAGCATGATATATTTCTCTCTTGCTCACAAACAGCACCAAAAGCTTTTCCAGTCATGTCTCCCTTATACATCTTTTATCTTTACTTTCTGATTTCAATTACAAAACAACCTACATGTAAATGTATTCACACTCCACTTGATTTTTATTGACAAGAACACTAACATAAAATATTTTAAAAGTATGGTCCGGGAAATTGTATTGTCGAAGGCTTTCATGGCTGGAATCACTAGGTTCTTGTGGGTTTTTTCGGGCTATAGAGCCATGTTCTAGAGGCATTTCTCCTGACGTTTCGCCTGCATCTATGGCAAGCATCCTCAGAGGTTGAGAAGGACCTTCTCAACCTCTGAGGATGCTTGCCATAGATGCAGGCGAAACGTCAGGAGAAATGCCTCTAGAACATGGCTCTATAGCCCGAAAAAACCCACAAGAACCTAGTCCGGGAAATTGTTTTTATGAGTTAGTTAATGGCCTCAGTTTGAATGTTACTGTACAAAGAGAAGCACAGTAACAAGGAAAACATTACAGACACCATTTCTTTTTTATTATTATTAAATCCACAAAATTTTAATGCTTCCAGAAAGTCTGGATGATTCAGGCATATGTCTGTGAGAGTTATAAAGCTTTATAATGGCAAAAGCTTGGCATGTATTAAAATGACTAATTGTGGTAAAGGTGTTACATCCTCTTCAAAACAGTGCTTAATAACTCAAAAGTTATGAACATTTCCATTTGGAAATGTGACTGCAATCAACTTGGTTTCTTGTTCCTTCGCCTAATCATAGCTCATGTGAAAATAAGCTAACTAAGCTTAAAATCCTATTAGCAAATAAAACCATGCAAGTTACACAGAGTTTAGGAAAACATTCTTCTTATAAACATCATCCTACCAACGTGGTTTGAATGCTTAATTTTGCGGATATTTTAATATTCCTTTTACAATAAATCTGAAGAGCAGTTCTGCTTTTATGATTATGACAATTAACTTCTGCTATCATTGTTATTACACATCAATGTACGAGGGTTATCTAGAAAGTAAGGTTACAACATGTTTTTTAAATACAAAGAATGACTACATTTTAATAAAACTTGCATTGATTGTAGTGTAGGTATTACATTATTTTTCCACATTCACTATTGTCATCCATGGGACGAGTTTTGATGCCTGTGTCATAAAAGTTTCCCTCCGCCTTTTTCAGCCAGTTCATCACTTTGATTTTTACCTCCTCGTAGTCGGAAAAGTGTTTTCCACCAAGATGTTCCCTCAATTTAGTGAACAGGTGATAGTCACTGGGTGCGAGATCAGGGCTGTGAGGGGGTGGCTTAAGACATCTCAACAAAATTAAGTCAACAGCTCTTGTGTTGCATGAGTGGTGTGCGGACGCACATTGTCATGAAGGAGACAGACTCTCACAGTCAGCATCCCACAACACTTGTTTTGAATGGTCCTGCGAAGTTTCTTCATGGTCTCACAATATATTCCGTACCTATTTTGTCACATGCTGTCGTGACATTACATTCTCTCCATAAACTGAAACAATTTCACAATGAATCACAGTGGCGTTCATGCTCTTAGCATTTAGGTAGCATATTACAGTGCGGACTTCACACTTGGATTGAAACGAAATGAGGCACTCTTCTCTAACCTTCATAGAATCATAGAATCAAAGAGTTGGAAGAGACCTCATGGGCCATCCAGTCCAACCCCCTGCCAAGAAACAGGAATGTTGCATTCAAATCACCCCTGACAGATGGCCATCCAGCCTCTGTTTAAAAGCTTCCAAAGAAGGAGCCTCCACCACACTCCAGGGCAGAGAGTTCCACTGCTGAACGGCTCCCACAGTCAGGAAGTTCTTCCTCGTGTTCAGATGGAATCTCCTCTCTTGTAGTTTGAAGCCATTGTTCCGCATCCTAGTCTCCAAGGAAGCAGAAAACAAGCTTGCTCCCTCCTCCCTGTGGCTTCCTCTCACATATTTATACATGGCTATCATATCTCCTCTCAGCCTTCTCTTCTTCAGGCTAAACATGCCCACCTCCTTAAGCTGCTCCTCATAGGGCTTGTTGTCCAGACCCTTGATCGTTTTAGTCGCCCTCCTCTGGACACATTCCAGTTTTTCAATATCTCTCTTGAATTGTGGTGCCCAGAATTGGACACAATATTCCAGGTGTGGTCTAACCAAAGCAGAATAGAGGGGCAGCATTACTTCCCTAGATCTAGACACTATGCTCCTATTGATGCAGACCAAAATCCCATTGGCTTTTTTTGCCGCCACATCACATTGTTGGCTCATGTTTAACTTGTTGTCCACGAGGACTCCAAGATCTTTTTCACACGTACTGCTCTCGAGCCAGGCGTCCCCCATTTTGTATCTTTGCTTTCTGGATAACCCTTGTATTTATATGGTGATTTACACAGAATAAGAGGTTCAGGGAGTTTACAATCTTAAATACAGTTCAGAGAAAACAAGAGATAGGTTGGTTAAATAGGAAATGAATATGAACTACCGGGCATTTAAAAGATGATAACTCCCAATGGCTGAACTGTATGGCTGTGGACGACAAAACTTATAGTCTAACTTCCAGAAAGCACCAATTGGGAAAGGATAGCATTCATGGTCATTTTTATAGTTGCCTTAGGATGCATTATAGGTGCATCTACACTATAGAATTAATCCAGTTTGACACCACTTAGATTGTCATGGCTTGATGCTATGGAATCATAGGAGTTTTGTAATCTAATACTTCTTGACAGAGAATGCTAAAGACCTGTGTAAAACTATAACTGCCATGATTCCATTGAGTATTGCAGTTAAAGTGGAGTTGAATTGCATGAATTCTATATACCCTTAGTGTAGTACTCCAGATCTTCATCCAGAACTTTTTGAAGCACTGTAAATTAAAAAAAAAAGGTTTTAATTTTTCTTCCAGCAGCCATTGTACTCTTTCCCCCCCCCCCCAAATATAAGGTTTTAGTCCCCACTGTATTTAGTAGATTTTACTTCTGAGTAGATGTGTATGGGCGCATTGCAGTGTTAGTGCACTTTCTGTGTGTTTCTGTAGCAGTGTTGAGGTTTATGGCAGGAATTGCCCTTTAAACACATGCTACAGCAAAATTTTACATACCCGTTAAATAAGACTTAGTTGGACTACAAACCCTTTCTGAATGTTCAGTAAATGTACTTGAGGAGGGGGTCTGAGTTGATGTCCATTCATATACTTATCTGAAAGTGTAAACAGTGGCCACACAATGCCTTTTCTAGGATTTTCAATGGTGCAGAGCACTATGCCCATAGACAATTATTGTTTGTATGTACCTTTCAGCTAATGGAGACCTATGGTAAACTTATCATGGTGTTTTCTTGGCAAGATTTTTTCAGAGAGGGTTTGCTTCTGCCTTCTTTTGAGGCTGAGAGTGAGTAACTTAACCATGGCCATCCAGTGGGTTTCCATGTTGGAGTGGAATTTGAAGCCTCGTCTCCAGATTCATAGGCCAACACTCAAATCACACTGGCCTCTATTCATGAATTTAGGTGGGTGTAACAATATAAAAAATCAGCAGTTTGGGAAAGTTCCTTTTTTGGACCAACTCTTAATCTCACGGGTGACTGGTTGATTCTGGGCATTTTAGGTAAAAAATAAAGCTCTAAAATAACTCTAATCTCTAGGACAAAAAATCTGATCCTACTCCTCTCCTACATATTAAATCTGCATATGCTACAGGTTTTCTTTAAAACTAACTGTGTGCAAGGTAGGAAGGAAAATATCACCCTGCCTCCACTGTGTGCTGTGATCTTAGAAATGTTGTTTTGTTTCACAGTTTGAAGGTTGCAAGAAGGCCTTTTCCAGACTAGAAAATCTCAAGATTCACTTAAGGAGCCACACCGGAGAAAAGCCTTACCTTTGCCAGCACCCAGGCTGTCAAAAAGCATTCAGTAATTCCAGTGACCGAGCCAAGCACCAAAGGACGCACCTGGACACGGTAAGAGAAGAATCAGATTGTCTTCAAGGTGTTTTGCTATCCTGTTTTGACTTTGCTATGTATCTTCCAACTCTATGATTCTATTATTCTATGCAGATGGTGCCTATTCTGTATTTGAATGTAATACTACAAAAGGCACAGAATTATGGCTTAACATAGGTAATTCCCCCAAAGTCCAATATTTTTTTAAAAAAATCATATAAGGGCAATTGCACATGTTGTAGTTGTTTCACAGAAAGTTGACAATATTTTAATAAATTAAGTCTAAACATTCTTTGCAAAACCTTTAATGCATTTGAAGCTTTAGCATGTGAGCATTGCTTTCTACTTTTATTTCTTTTCTGTCTTATAACATCTAACGTCTCCCCTTCATTCTCTCTTTCCGAAGCAGATTTCTATATCTCTGTGTCTGGGACTTTCCTACAGCTTCTTTACCTGAACCAATAAAGAAATGTAATTTCTGACAATGGCAAAGGTTTCTGTGAGGGTTAAATAACTGTAAGTACAAGTAGAGATCAGAATTTATTTGAGCAATATGTGAAATTCAGTCCCTCCTGTTTCTGGCTCTCATTTTTACCAAGGATATACATCTCATCTGGCTCCAAAATTGCCTCAATTCAGAAGTTTTGTCCAAGCAAGTCTCCAGCATGTGAATGGAGCCATATTGAGTAGCCATGACCCTGGTGTATGTACTAACTTAGCCCCATATTCGAGCATCTTTTTATGAAATGTGGGAATCTGCAAGAACAAAGCCTTTCCGTTTATCTGGAATCTCATGTGTTGCGAATCAATCCACATTGAAACCTTTGTTCATGGACCTGTTTACCTTTGAAGTCTCCGTCTCTGAAAATGGGTGTGCAGATGCCACAGGTGGAGTTACTCAGAGCTCTATCACGCTACACAGATATAGTACAGGTTGAGCTTATGAAACATAAATGGATTTCATGTTTATTCCATTTCTCAGATCTCACCTTATGTAGGTATTTCAAAATGCAAGAAATCAAAAATTCTTGTGAACCTAAGCATTTTGGATAAAAGATACTCAAGCTACATGTCCCTTAATCTGCAAACCCTTGGAGTCCATAACACAGAACTATGGTAGTTAACACTGAATAATAATATTTTACTTATGTCATATGAATGAGATGTTAGCATATACAGTGTCCAAGGTATGACTATTTTCATGGACTTGCTCACACGTTGAGAGAAACATGAGAAAACCTTTTTTTCATATCTCAACATAGATCTCCATGCTTAAAATAGTCAAAATGTTCTCATTTTTCCTTCCCTTCTGCTTTATTTTCTCTCTTAACTCTTCGATAAATTACATGACCATTCTGCTTGTGGTATTAAGCTCTATATAGTTATTGTACTGCTACTGATATCAAGCTAAGATGAATGATCTTTTAATAAAGATCTCGTGACTTAGCAGTTTTCCTTTTGTTTGTCTAGAAACCTTATGCTTGCCAGATTCCTGGATGTACCAAACGATACACTGATCCAAGTTCTTTAAGAAAGCATGTAAAGGCCCATTCCTCCAAAGATCAGCAGGCCAGGAAAAAGGTAACTTTTTCACATCACTATTATCCAGAGGGTCCGAAAAAAAGTCAGAAAGTGACCGTAATGCTTAAATGAAATCGAGCCATTTTGAAGAAAACAGTTTACTTAGACATAGAAAATGTTGTAAGTTTCTAGTTTTTTCTATTTAAAACATGTGCAAAAGATTCTGAGCCACATTCCAAAACGTCTTGACATTCTTAGTTAAAGAAAAAAAAATAGAAACAAAAAATAATAACAACAAAAAATATATAGTTTGGAAATGTTGCTTGCTGCTGATCAGGGAGTTTGTGTGTCATGGCCTTTTGTCATTTATTTATTTTGTGTCAAAACATTGCATAAATAAACCAGTATAAAACTGCTAAAATAGAGGAAGCACAAGCAGCTAAATAATTTTAGACCAAAAACGGGCAACAGCAATCACATTGTCTGTAGCTTTAAACAAGTTTACCTCTGTGCATGAGGCAGGGCATTGTAGGCAAACATACAGATGTGGAGTTGTTTGTTCTGCTCCACAGTCACACAAGGTGGAGGATTCTTCTAGGTAGTGCCATTTTGCCTGGTTGTCTTTTGATCTGCCCACTCCACTTCTGAGTCTGTTCAGGGACTGCCAAGTTGCCCATTCTTGGTTTGCCCCTCGAGGAAGACCCTTGTGGGGGAGGGGCATCCAATTGGGCCTTCCTGATTTACCTGCCCAGAGAGATAGTCTTGCTGCTGCTGGAGGAAGATTAAGAGGAGTGGTGCTTCTCATGAAACTTTTCCTTGATTTGAATCTGCTGGGAAGAGGCTGATAGCCATGCAGTGGGTGGCTTTCACAGAGTCCAACCTTATTGTTCTCACAGTTGGCAGCAACTTCCCATTGCACATTCAGGGGGGCGGGGGGGGGGGGGGGGGGCAATGCCATATAGCTAATAGAGGCTATCAACAGTTGTAGGTTTGAGACATGCCTTTTATCACTGAATTGCAGCTACTGTGGGGTTTTTTTTTTTTGTAAAAAGTTGGTTAAAAAACCCAGAGTATATCTGGTGCCGAATTCTTAAATAAATCTCTGACTTTAAATTTTCTTTGTAAATCATATCTGCAAATACCATGACATTTCCTTTTGTTTATATAAAAACCTTAGGAACAAGAAACTTTATCCACAAGTCTGTGTACTACTGTATCCCGCTATATCAAACCTGGGCAAATTTCGGTCCTCCAGGTGTTTTGGACTTCAACTCCCACAATTCCTAACAGCCTCATCCCCTTTCCTTTTCCTCCTCAGCTGCTTAAGCGGCTGAGGAGGAAAAGGAAGGGGCCTGAGGCGGTTAAGAATTTTGGGAGTTGAAGTCTAAAAGACCCGGAGGGCTGAAGTTTGCCCAGGCCAGTGGTATGCACAATATAATTGCCCTTGCTATTTCAAATGAGGTTCACAGTAAAGTCTCACTTATCCAACATAAATGGGCCAGCAGAATGTTGGATAAGCAAAAATGTTGGATAATAAGGAGGGATTAAGGAAAAGCCTTTTACATGTCAAATTACGTTATGATTTTATTAATTAAGCATCAAAACATAATTGTCAGAAAAAGCAGTTCAATACATGGTAACGTTATGTAGTAATTACTGTATTTACGAATTTAGCACCAAAACATTGCAATATATTGAAACACCTGTGGATTTGGGTGGGAGGCAGAGTGTGTTGGATAATACAGAACATTGGATGAGCAAAGATTAGATAAGCGAGACTCTACTGTATTTCCAAATGGTTTTCTTTTTTGTGTCAGGAGCGACTTGAGAAACTGCAAGTCACTTCTGACGTGAGAGAATTGGCTGTCTGCAAGTACATTGCCCAGAGGACGGCCAGATGTTTTTGATGTTTTACTATCCTCGTGGGAGGCTTCTCTAATGTCCCTGCATGGGAAGCTGGAGCTGACAGAGGGAGCTTATCCGCACTCTCCCCGGATTCGAGCCTTTGAACTGTCAGTCTTCAGTCCTGCCGGCACAAGGGTTTAACCCATTGTGTCATCGGGGGCTCCTTTCTTCCAATTGGGGGGTAATCACTAAAGCTACATCTTACTAAATGTTTCTTGCCTTCTGTTAATGTAAAACAATGTGTCATGATATGTAAAAAATCATTTATTATCTCTTTACAGTATATGGTTTGGCTCTTTATATTGCATTTTTCATGGTCTATTGTTCATTCTTGATTGTTCCATAACCTCCAACCCTGAAAATGAAATAAATGTAACAGCCACTTTTCTTCCTTAGTTATGCGTAATAACAGGATTTAGCTCTATTGTTCCTTTACCTTTGTATCCTTGTAATTTATCAATTTGAATTGGAAATACATTTGGTGAACAAAGGGAGGAGGAAAGAATTTTTGGTATAGATCAGAAGAGTTCACTAATATGCTCTAAGTAAGGTCATAACGTTTGTGAGCTGTATTCCACTTCCAATATCTTTGGGAACTTTATGAGACTCGCTCACTTCATGCGTTGGTATTTGAAATATTTCCTGGCATAATAATAAAAATGTAAGAAACAATAAACCTTTAAAGTCAGAATTAAGGTTATTTATGACTTTAATTAAAAGTTAAAATTGGCTTAATGTCAAAAAAAATCTTTACAAAAATGTGAATTCATAAAAAAAAATAACCATAAAAATTCCAAGGTGATAAAAGCACAGTGAAGTAATAGTTCCAGCCCTAGGGAACCGTTTGGTTGAATAGAATGAGACCCTTTGCTGTTACGCCCGGTTAGTCATGGATTTGTTTAATATGTCCTGCTTGACTGCCTTCTAATCCTCTTTTTAAAACTTCCCCTCTGCACACTAAATAACATCGTTTTGTTATTTTGCTATCACTTGCCATTCAAAATGCCAAGCTCATATTGACCATGAGTGCTCTCTCGCTCTCTCTCTCTCTCTCTCTGTGTGTGTGTGTGTGTGTGTGTGTGTATGTGAACCCTATGTTTAAACTCTTGAGAAATCCTGGCCACAGTGACAGAATGCCTATTGATTCCAGTACAGCTGGATTTCAGTAATTGTGTCAGCATGTGGTCACACTGATATTGCCAGTATCCTAATGAATCATTATAGCATTTTGCTTTTCCCCAGGGAATTTAGTCAAGACATCACTTTGGTAGTAATTTAGAGTGAACTCCACATCCCGTACATACTGACTACTTGTGCTCTAAATGCATGCCACATCCAGGGAGAGTGTTGAAAAACTAGTGACCTTTTACCTTAGAGGGCAGCGACTTAACACTCTCTTTCCATATAGATACATGTCAGATGATCATTTCCAGACAGTATAAAATCTCTCATACCTATCTGCGTGTTTAAAAACCACAATAGTCACCACATTTATTTTAATTCAAAGGGTTCTCTAGTAGATGGTCAACTTATGAACCAGGAAGCTAAACTTCAAATTACAGTAAATGGTTTTTACCTCTTAAATAAGCATACAGCACTCTGATATAAACTGGCGCCACTGTGCATAATATGAGGTGATAGGAATCTCTCCGCAGCTGGCTAAGCCCTAATTCACATGCTGTCTTCACATATCATAGTTTGAAAAAAGAGAAAAAAATCGGTTGAGAGTTTCCTTTCCCCCTTTGGCTTTTGCAAGTGGGAGGGTGAACTTTAGTTTTTTAAATGGATGGTTTAATTCTTTCTACCCATGGCTGTCTCAATCCAGATTGTGGTATTATATACTTACTTGAAAACAGAACTGATCCAAATTGAATGCATATGGGTTGCTGCGTGTTTTCTGGGCTGTAATGCCATGTTTCAGAAGCATTCTCTCCTGACATTTCGCCCACATCAATGGCAGGCATCCTCAGAGGTAGGAGCCCCGGTGGGGCAGTGGGTTAAACATTTTTGCTGGCAGGACTGCTGACCGACAGGCTGATGGTTTGAATCCAGGGAGCAGGCTGAGCTCCTGTCTCAGCTATAGCTTCCCATGTGGGAACATGAGAGAAGCCTCCCACACGATGGTAAAACATCAAAACTTTTGGGCATCCCCTGGGCAACGTCCTTGCAGATGGCCAATTCTCTTACAACAGAAGCTTCCTGCCTGGGGGAATCCTTTGTTGGGAGGTGTTAGCTGGCCTTGATTGTTTCATGTCAGGAATTCCCCTGTTTTTTTAGCATTCCTCTTTATTTACTGCATATATTTAAGACAGGGGGTTCATTCCTGTTGGGTAGTCTTAAACAAAGTAGGCCTACTGAATTCTTGATTTAATGAGTAAACACCTAGGTAAATCCAATTGATTGAATAAGTCTACCCTAATTGGGTTAACACAAATATTTAGGACAGAGTGAATGAAATAGGGCAAACTGACCATGCCTTCTCTGATCTCATTCCAGTTGGTCAGTGCATGGGAACTTGCTCTGAAATTGTGGCATTTGAGAGAAAAGCTGATTGAGGAAACATTGAGAAAAGACATTATCTAGTACATGTCACAAATATAAGGATTGGGACTCTGCTATTCATAGTCAACAATAGTGAAATGAAGGGATTACTTCTCGTGCCCGACCACTTTACTTTGGTTATACGTCTGAACCGATTTTTTTCTTGAAGTCTTCTTCATGATCCCAGCTTTTAGAATAATTTGGGACTCTGATTCAGAAAATTGCATTGAATAGACCGTATCAGCTCTTGTTTCTTAGAAAATCATTACTTTCTATGGGCAAGCAGATGGCAACTGATATATGGCATATGTTCTGTATCTCAAAACCTAGAGCTGGTAGGAGAAAAGTGAATCTATTTTTGGAATCCGCAGGTCAAATATACCCAGAGACAGGTCTAACATGTGAGGCACCAATATGTGTGTTGGCCAGTGTTAGTGTTCATGAACTGACAAACATAGAGTGCTTTTTAAAAAATCAACAAATAATCTTATTGGCTTAACATTGATTCAGACAGGGACCAGATAATAGGCACTATTGTTTCTTGTAGCCAGTGTCATTGCTGGGTGGGTGAAGAGGGGTGCAAACTGCACTGGGCGATACTCGCAAAGAGGATG